AGGTTCCGATAATAACATCATGCAGTTACTCAGGTCAGGCATGTTTGATGTTTCTCTATTAAAAATATTTCCTGAGTGTCTTCAGGCACTTCCTGTTGTCAATAAGTGTAGAGGAATAATTTAATTCAACTTTTCACTAATTTTGACAGATGCTTCTAAAGACGATGAAAATACTTTGCACTCTATAGTACTGTTTGTTCAAAAGTCTCAAATCCCTTCAGAAACACGGCTTCATAAACTCCAAACCTCAGTGCGGGACCGAAGTATTATTGTACCCATGTCGCAGATGGACAAACTGAGGCATAGAGCTAGGGTGTGATCCAACTTCCATGAAAGTCAGCGGGAATCTTTTAATTGATTTCAATGGCAGCTGGTTTGGGCCCAGATCCACACAGGTATTTAGACCCCTAATGGCCACTGAAACCAATGGGCATTCGGAGCCTAAATACCTTTTGTTGCATCTGGGCCTTGGTCTCTCAGTTACTTAATTAAAAATTGCAGCACGTCAGAGGCAACAGAACCCAGGAGTCCTGACTCCCAGTTCGATAAGCTGATTACTGTGCGTTAGCCTCATCAGTTTCCAGCATTTCTGTTGAACACACTAGCTGGGAAATAATTGCACACCTCGCTCGTTTGGAAGCATCGATTTTCCTTCCATGCACAAAGTGAGGAGCTACCACTGAAGACAAATGTTAGAAGAGAAAGTGCAGTACAACGAGGCTTGGTAGAATTTGATTTATATTTTTTTATCATTTCAGTGAATAATTTCTATGTTTATTGTAAAGCATTTTTAAACTCTCTTTCATTTCAATTTTCACAGTCGGGGTTTTCAGCTGGTTTTTCCTCTTTTTATCAATTTCAATTTTCACACTTTCGGGACATTAAAGGGGGGCAGACACAATCATTATTTAATGACTGCAGACGCTGAGAGTCAAAAACGTGGACGCTTTCTAACCGGTACAGCACAAATTGTCAATATCACATGTCAAAATATGCAAAGTAAATATCCTTCAACCAAACGTCCATGAGCAGCATTTTTCTTACTTTGCCTACCTGTAAATTTCGATTATTGGTGATGGAAAAATTTTTTAGTTGGTTTGTGTGTGTGCAGTGAAATCAACATTGACTGATAAAAAGCGAATTCTGCCAGCCAAGGTACAACTAATGGAAATTGGGTATATATACCCATTCTCTCTTTAACTCGGCCCAATGGGATATAGATCTCTGCTTTCTGCATGTCATGCCAGTGCTGGAGACCCCTACTCACTCTATACTGGGACTTCAGTTTCCTATTGCTGCCAATCTGCCGTCTTTCATCAGCACTAAATTAAAGATAAATCAATTGTTAAATTGTGTGTCATTGTATGCCCTAAATTACCAGCATATTGAATTATGCTCTGTCATCCCTAAACCAGAAAGGGGAGAAAATTATCTAAGATACTGTTTTTAAGGAATCCTGAGTTGTTCTTTAATCATACGAAAGTGTATGCATTACAAAGAATAAATTACTTGAATGACTGAAAGACTGTTGATGGCCTAGCTTTGATGTTAATGGACGAACATCGTCTCTGTGATCTTGGAACATTTGTTGTGTCTTTCATAATGGAACGCTCTCACAGATGAGAAGAACGTGCTGTATTCCATTCTGTTTTCATTGCTGTAGAGTGCCTTTAGACCAGACACTGCATACAATGCTGAGAATCTAGCTAGGAGTATCAGTCTGCAGTGCAGTAATTGCTAAAGCGGGGGAAGCTGCCTCCTGCAACGCGGAAATTAAAAGAGTGGGGCCCGTCTGTGTGAGTCTGTCTGCATTTGTTTTACCCTTTCAAATGGGTTCTTGGGGCAAGATCCTGAAAGGTTCTGAGCAGTCTGGCCCAGCTGGTCCTACCCAGCAAAGTATTTAAGCAAGTGCTTAACTCTAAGCGTGAAGACAATCCCACGGAAGTTAATGGGACTACTCAGGTACTTCAAATTAAGCACATATTTAAGCACTTTGTTGGACTGGCGCAGAGAGCTCAGCACTTTGCAGGATTGAATCCTCACATACCGTATATTGCTGCAAGCCAGTTTTGGATTGACTAGGAGATTCTGAAGGGTTTTCAGCCCTACTTTCAAGGGAATGCTGAAAACTAGAGCTATGTCTACACTCCATCTTAAGGCGTCACAAGTGATGTCACTAAGCCCTGGTCTACACTGGGGGGGGTGAGATCGACCTAAGATATGCAACTTCAGCTACGGGACTAGCGTAGCTGAAGTCGACATATTTAGATCGACTTACCGCAGCGTCTTCACGGCGCTGAGTCGACTGCTGCCACTCCCTCGTCGACTCCACTTGAGCCTCTCACGGCGGTGGAGTACCGGAGTTAACGGGAGAGCGCTTGGGGATCGATTTATCGCGTCTAGACTAGACGCGATAAATCGACCCCTGATAGATCGATTGTTACCCGCCAATCCTGCGGGTAGTGTAGACCTGCCCTTAGAGGTGAGAATAAGTCACTCCCCTGAGTGATGTAAATTATACCGACCTAAGCGCTGGTGTGGACAGCGCGAGGTCAGGGGACACCTTCTCCCGCCGATGTAGTTACTGCCGCTCGCGGGGGCTGGAGTAATTAAGCTGACGAGAGAGCTCTCTCCCGTCAGCTTAGGACATTTGCACTAGCATCACTACAGCAGTGCAGACACATTGGTGCAAGCTCTGTAGTATAGGTTGGGCAGTTCTGAGCATGGACAGCAGTTGGCTTCGTCAGGTGTTGCTTGTATCAACAGGTGATTAGAAACAAAAGAGCACAGAAAGTGCTACACCAGCGCTGACCAATTGTCCATCTAGTCATGTGTCCTGTCTCTGGCAGTGATCAGTTCCAGCTGCTTCGGAGGAAGGTGTAAGAACCCAGCAGTAAGCAGTTCTGTGCTCATCTGCCTCCAAGCAAAGTGTTTTCCTGACCCCCATTAGCCTATAGTTTGGCTTCTGCCCTGAAGCATGAGGGTTTGTGGTCCAGATCCTCAAAGGTATCAAGGCACTGAAATCCCTTTGAAGGTCTGGGCCCAGAGCCCTTCCAGAACTGTGGAGGGAGTTGTGTTGTGTTGTTCTTTTCCAACCCTTGCTACTGAAGCTCTGGATAGCCTCACCATTAGAGTGGGTCAGATTGTTTCAAGTTTTGATAAATTTCAACATTAAAAAAAATAGGATGAACATTGAGATGAATATTCAGAATTGAGTTTTCAAAATAAATTCCAAAAAGAAAGGGGGTGGAGGGAAGACATTTTTTGAGGGGTTATCCCTCCCCCCTATTTTTAACTACCCCTACTCCATCCGTATAGATGTCCTCTGAACCCTTTATGATGGCTGCAGCATGACAGACTTCAACTGTAGATTAGGAGTGTGAGGGATATGAAATTTAGTTTCTTCCAAAAACTGGACCTGATCTTTCCTCATTGATATCAAACTCCCGCTGACTTAACTGGGAGTGGAGCTGGTTGAAAGGAACCGTAATATCCAGCCACCTGTTTCTAGAAAACCTGGGTAAACTGATACCAGCAGACAGATGTAAGCAACTCCCCAAAGCATTTTTAGTATAAATACTATTTCTCTGGATTGATATGAATGCTAGAACAAGGCACCTGTCTATATGCTCTAGTTGCCCTGAATTTTACAACCAAATTAATGCTCACACGTATTTACGGGGCAGCGTTATAACTCAGTATAACTTCCCACCAGCGGCTGGTGTAATGGAGCTATTTGGAGTTCCTGTGTCTAAACACAGCACCTGAGAAGTTCAGGTCCCCCTTTCTCACTGCTAAATTCCCCACCCTTTACAATCTCTTTCCCCTGCCCCATTTTCAAATGCCTGGGTGACAAGGCGAGCTGCTCACCGTGCCCTAAAGGACTATTTCAAACCAAACATGGGAAGTGGCTTCCAAAGTCATGGGAATCCCCACAGAGAACACCTGGACAGCAGCCCTTTTATCTGGACCATGTCCCTTTGAAAAGAATCAAAAGCGGGATGGGTTGTATCTACTCCACCGCCGCTGGCAGGTGTCAGGAGCTGCACACTAGAAGCCAATTGCTGAGCATAACAACAGCAGCTTTATCGAACCTATTAACTTCTTGACCAGTGGTTCTCAACCTGTTTATCATTGTGGGCCGCAGGTTGAGAACCACAGCGCCCCCCTCCTAAACCTCCCCAGAGTTCCCTAGGCCCAGTGCCCCTGCCCCAGAGCAGGGCCAGGAGCAGAGCCCTGGACACTGGGCCGGGCAGCTGGGACCCGGAACCACCGTGTGGGACTGGGCAGATGGACCGCGGAACCTGTAGCGGGGCCAGACCCTGGACCCCGAACCCCGCTGTGAGGGGCTGGGCAGCAGGACTCTCCTCTCCCCTCTCCCCCCTCCCCCCGCTGCGGGGCCACCAGCAGCTGAACCTGACCCCAGGAGCGGAACCCTACCTAAAACATGGGGGTGCTGCAACAGCCCGGGAAAACTCCAGTTCCCAGCTCCCCCCCACTCCCTCACTGCCCAGAACCCCCCCGACAAACCTACCCACAGACCCACTCTCCCAGCCCCTGCGTCATTCACCAGCCCCCTGCTGGCAGGAGCGCTCATGCAGGCTGAAAGATGCTGTCTCCCCCTCAGCCACCCCTGCCCCTTGCCAGACCAGAGCTGCAAATTTTGAATTTTTTTAGCTCACAGCTGGGCCCCAGTTGAGTGCTGATTGGGCTACAGGTTGAGAACTGCTGTTCTTGACCATGCTGCTTATTCTTAGCTGTCAGTAGAGGGCGCTCTCTTTATTAACTACCTGCCTACTGCGTGTTCCCCTAATGCCAGGTTGGGCCAAACGCACTGATTTGTGCCCTGAACTTAATTCTAGCTGGGAGAAGGGCCTCTCTGGGCAGTGTATATCCAGCTGGCACACGACAGTTCTGAGGGTGCCAGGGGACTATGTCGGTGACAGCTGCTGAATGCTGCAGGCTCCGTGACGTCTCTTGTTTTCGCTTTTCTCCCGCAGATGGTTTCTGTCTGCCCGAGTGGGACGGCATTGGCTGCTGGCCCGAAGGCGTGCCGGGCAAAGTGGTGGCCATGCCGTGTCCTGAGTACATCTATGACTTCAACCACAAAGGTAATAAAGCTCCTTCCCAAATGCCATGGGAACCTTCTCGCCTGCAGCGGGAAGGAATGAAGCTGAGGACTAGAGAGCCGGGCGTTGGCCTAGGGAGCCTTTCCCTTCTTGAACGGTGTCCCGGGTTTACCCCCCGGCCCTTAAACAGTATCCTGGGAGTCACCCTTTAGTGCCCCAGCCCCGCAGGAGGTCCCATTTTCCCATAAGGGTAGGCCAGATGGCCTCAACGCCTCCTAGACGGGATCCTGCAATCCTGGTGTCTCAGCATCAGAGCAGACTCCCAGTCAGGGACTTTCTACCCCTTTCAGGGATCAATGCACGTCAGTATTTGCAGATTTTCACAGCCCCCTGGACTACAGCGTCTGGAAGCACTTAGGTGAGCATCGAGAAGGGCAGGTGAAGGCGGAGTTCATATTGGCTGAAGCCAGAGCTCCGCCAAGCCAAACCGCTGCAGAATCCATCTCGGCTCTGTGTCCCTTTGTGTCGGAGTCCCACGTGAGAGCCCCTGTGTTGAGAGAACCTGTTCTTATCACAGGCACCTGACGCCTTCAAATCCTTGTTCTCCAGCTCGGGGCTTTTTGTTCTGCTTTTGTGCAAGGAAGTGGGGAGAAGCAACTGGCTCTAGGAGTTCATCTTCAGTTATTAAGGTTCCTCTTGACATGGTAGGGCCTGTGTTGATTCCAGTCCAGTCAGCCTTTGTGGCTCAGACACTTTGCCCTGATCACCGATGTTGCAAGGACAGAATTAATTCTCACCCCATCCCCAAAGGTCACCGATGGTGGCTCCACTCCGGCTCCTGAGGGCAGTGACCCTGTGACATTGGTGTGGCTGCACCGGTCTCATTCCGCATTACAAAGCCAGCGCACTGGTGGAGCCGAGACCGCAATTTGGCTATACTGTGTCTAATTTTTTTAAAAAACAAAAAATCCTTGTGCCTGTTTCTCAGCTTCTCTGTACTTGAGCTGGGCGCAGGACCGGAGTTGGTGGGTAAAACCATTTTTGTGCTCCCCCCATGCTGGGCTATGCAGGAGTCTGCTTGGTCCCTGGTGTGAATAAGAGCAGCCTCGAGGCTGCTCTAACTTATGCATGCTTCCCAGGGCTCCCAGGAAGCAGAGACTAGCCATCGTGTAGTAGACTACATCCACAACCCTCCCACAGGCCCACTGTGGCCAGGACTGGGAGCTGGGCCAGTGTGAATCCTTATGCCAGAACTGAAGCTGCCAGGGAGGTTTTTCTGCACATCCACTTAAAGGCCCCCTTATGATACGTGGAAGGGGAAGAAGGATGGTCTAGTGGATGGAGCACTGGGTTTTATTCCTGGATTTGCCACAGGAACTCTGGCTGACCTTGGGTAAATCACTTACTCTGCGCTGTATCTGAGTTCCCTCTTGGTAACGGGTGTGACCAAGAAAAAAAATCATCTATTCCTAATTGGAAGGCGCTAAGATCGTACAGTGATAAGGGCTAGAGATGTAGAAAGATCCACTTGAATGAGCCCATTGCTTTTCAATGACTTTTTTTTAACCATCATGCAAATGTTTCCATGCTATTGCATTTTGAAAACCATTTTTCTGTCTTTCTTTTTTTAAACCCTGTATTTTGACCTACACCGTTTGATGGGTGCCTCTTTAAATTTGAGAGTTTCTGTGTAGAACAAATGACTGGGTTTTGAAGTTCAGTTGCGGTGGGAGATCCTCTGGGCTAAGCTGATCTGAAACTACCCCCTGTTCCCCCACGGCTCCATGACAAGCAGCAGAGAGAGCAGATAAGGGCAGGCTGATTATGGGCAGCTAAGTTATAAGGACAGGTGTGAATCTGTGGTTGAAGCATCGGGAAAGATATGTCTTCTGTTCTGCCAGGACTGCAATCCGCTAAGCGTCATGTTGTCTGTTTTCTCGTTCCTTTCGTTAGGCCATGCCTATCGGCGGTGTGACGTTAATGGGAGCTGGGAGCTGGTGCCAGGCAACAACCGCACCTGGGCGAATTACAGCGAATGCGCCAAGTTCCTCACCAACGAAACCAGGGAGACGGTATGCCATGCTTGTATGCAAACTGGGAATGGGGGGATCTGATCAGAACTAGCCAATCGAGCCTTCTGTTCTTAAACAAGCAGTGCCCTGCAGGTTGCTTCCTGATGCTGGAAAGATTCCCAATGTTTGCAGGTCCCAATCAAATCTTTCCCATTTGTTTCAGTGGGAAATTGCTTCACCTCAAGGGGGCGGAGGTGGGGTGTTCTTCAAGACAGTCAGATATTTGTCATGCACTCCTCAAAGTGGTCTGATCCATTTTCACAGAGATCCAGGGTGGGGGAATCTGGAGGGCACTATGTGGAGTTTCTTTTTTTTTTTGGGGGGGGGGGGGAGAGGGGCTCGTTCCATGCTAGTGGAGACCATCACCACCTATGGGCAGGGACCCCCCTACAGGGGTCAGTCCTGGATACTGTTCAATGTTTTCATGAATGACTTGGATAATAGAGTGGAGAGTACGCTTATAAAATTTGCAGGTGACACCAGGCTGGGAGAGGTTGCAGGCTCTTGGGAGGACAGGATTGGAAGTCAAAACAACCTGGACAAATTGGCGAATTGCTCTGAAATCAACAATAAATTCAATAAAGGCCAGTGCAAAGTACCAGCCTTAGGAAGGAAAAGTCAAATGGACCACACAAAATGGGGAGTAACCGATAGACAGAGGCACAGCTGGAAAGAATCTGGGGTCTATAGTGGATCACAAATGGACTATGAGCCAACAATGTGACGCAGTTGTGAAAAAGGCCGATCTCATTCCGGGGGGTATTAACAGGAATGTCGTATGTAAGACACGGGAGGTGATTGTCCTGCTCTGCTCAGGACTGGTGCAGCCCCAGCTGGAGAACTGTGTCCAATTCCGGGCACCACACTTTAGGAAAGATGTGAAGAAACAGAAGAGAGTCCAGAGGAGAGCAACAACAATGATCAAATGAACTATGAGGAAAGGTTAAAAGAGCTTGGCATGTTTAGTGAGAAAAGGAGACTGAAGCGGGGCCTGGTTACAGATTTAAATTATATTAAGGGCTGTTATAAAGAGGCCGGTGCTCAGTTATTTTTTGTATTCACTGGAGATCGGACAAGAAACAATTTGCTCAATCTGCAGGAAGGGAGATTTAAGTTCAATATTAGGAAAAACTTTCTAACTCTCAGGGTAGTGAAGCTCTGGACCAGGCTTCCAAGGGAGGTTGTGGAATCCCCGTCACTGGAGGTTTTTAAGAACAGGTTGGACACCTGTCAGGGATGGTCTAGGTTTACTTGGTTCTGTCACAGCGCAGGGGGCTGGACTTGATGACCTCTTGAGGTCCCTTCCTGCGCTACATTTCTGTGAGTCTATTCTTCCATGTTATACGCCTCCTTGTGAGTTAGGGACTGTATTCTAGCTCTGTGGGGGAGGAGGGTTACCAGCTTTCCCCAGAAACTAAAATCAGTGGGGGATAATTACTGCAGGTCCCGGGACAGGTAAACAACTCCAGTGAAGTACTCCACCCTGGGGCGAATTGCATAGCGTGGTTCAGACTGGGTTCAAGGGGCCTGAAGACAGGCAGTTGATGCAATCGAGAAGGGGAAGCAGTGGAGGGATGCCAAGAGAGGGCTGACATGGTCAAAGCCACGGGCTAAGAGAACGATCTTTGTAGCAGCATTCTGACTGGATCTGAGCAGGGTGTTTGTCATGACCAGAGAGAAGGATGTTGCAGCAATCGCCTTCGGAGCTTTTGAGCCGCAGAGCTCTGCAGGTCTGGGAAAGGAGCTCCCAGCGTCACAGCAAAATGCAAGGTGGCATTAGTAGTTAGCATGTATTGTCAGGGACCATTCGCGGTAGAGTGGCCCGGTTACACCTCTGCAGTCCTAGGCCAAAAAGAGGTGGGTAGTGGGTTACAGATCCTCGTAATAAGCCAGAAATCCAGTGTCTCGGTTTGATCAGGATTTTTAGGGTCTGGCAGAGTAATGAATTTAAGCTCCCAAGCTGGTCTTGAGAAAGTGTCGTGCAGGTTTCCTTTGAGGACCGGAACTGACCGTGGAGTGATCGCTTTATGCAAGCGAAATGTTAGAGATGTTAGGCAGAAGAAATCTGCAAGATGTATGTAGCCTCCTCCCTTTCCTCTCCCAGGTGCTGGCTTCTCCCCTCCCCTCCCCTATGCATTCAAAACTAGGCAGGAGGATGGACTGTATTTTAGGGAACAATCCTGCGCTGGCAGGGAAATAGACTGCACGACCTCACCAGAATAAAGCGAGAACTGGATCATCTAATTAAGGCACGTATGGTGGGCCCACCCCCGGTTACCATAGTATTTGAACACCTCACAATCTTTAATGTACCTCATGCTATTCCTATAAGGTAGGCAGGTGCTCTTCTCCCTGTTTTAGAGAGGGGAAACTGAGGCACAAAGAAATCGGTCCAAAATCACACAGTGAGTTAGTAGCAGGGTAGGGAATTGCACCTGCATCTGCTAGCTCCTAGGTGACCATGCGAACCACTGGGCCAGATTTCCCCTCTATTAACACTCTCTTGGGAAGAGGCCTAGGGTCTAGATATTATGCCCTCATTCCTCTCACTAGTACAGCCACTTCCCTTTCCTCCCCACAGAGTCAGGGCTTTGAGTACACAGCTTAGAACTGGCAGACTGTGAGCGGATATGGGGAAGTGGGTCATCTCACCCTTTACCGTCCATATGCAGGAAGTTTTTACAGCTTCCGGGCAGTGGCCTCTGCCATGTGGTGCTTCCCTGGGGTGAAGCACAGCTGTGTGTTTTGTAAATGGTCTGTTCTTGCACTGGTAGAGTTTAATTCCAAAGTATCAGAGAATCCTGGGAAAGGCCTCGGACAAGCTTTAGCACCCAAATGGCCCAGTCTATGTATACAACCCATATTTTTTTTCCTATTGATGTCACATCCTGAGCATACGGAGGTGGAGTTGACCTGGGTGTAGTGTGGGTCTGTCTAACGAGGAGCAAAGCAGGTCACTCTGCACGGCTCCGAAGAAAGGGGCAGTTCAGGATCGCCTGGCTAGCTGGGTCTATCGTTTCAAAGTCTGCCTCTTGCCGAGAAACAAGGAGCGTGAGGTCATAACTTTTATTGGCCCAGCTTCTGTTGGTGGAAAGAGACCAGCTTGCAAGCTACACAGAGCGCTTCTTCAGGGCAGAGTCTCACGCAAGGTGGAACGGATTGTTTAGCATAAGTCGTTAACGTGTTCAAACCCCTCTGCAGTCAGAGGACAAAAAAGGGGGCGGGGCTAGTGGGTTACAGACTGTTCTAATAAGCCATAAATCCAGTGTCTTTTTTAAGACCACGATTTTTAGTGTCTAGCAAAGGCTTGAATTTAAGCTCCCAGGCTCATCTTTCGAAGGTGCTGTGCAGGTTTCCTTTGAGGACGAGGACGGAGAGTGTTCAGATGTGGAGGGATTGTTTTGTGAAAAGTGTTTGCCCCCGGGTGAGATGGAGCTTTTGCCTTTGATCGTTTTTCTGTGTGAGTTCATTCGAGAGCATCATGATGGTCTGGTTTCACCCACCCAGTTGTTATTGGGGCATTTAGCCCACTGGCTGAGGTACAGACATGTCGTGCTAGGCACGTGTAGGGCTTTTTAAAGGCCTGTTTAGGGGGTATCGATCATGGTAGCAGTGGAAGAATGGCTGCAGATTTTGCGTCTGTTGTTCTGGCAGGATCTGGTGCGGCTTTGAGTTGCTGGGTTCTGGTCTGTAGGGAGCTTGCTTCTGAGGATGAGGTTGGGAGACTGTTTGAAGGCCAGAAGAGGGGGATTGGGAAAGATCTCTTTCAGGATGTGGTCCCCGTTGAGTATGGGTTATAACTGTTGAATGATACCCTGTATGGGTTCCAGGGTGGGGTGGTAGAGACGGTCTCTCAAGCTTACACAGAGCTCTTCTTCAGATCACTTCTCTGGGTAGCTCGAAAGCTGGTCTCTTTCACTGACAGAAGTTGGTCCAATAAAAGCTATTACCTCACCCACCTGGTCTCTCTCGTATCCTGGGACCAGCATGCCTACAACAACACTGCAAACAAAAATGTATATTATTATTCTTTTTCTCTGCTGGCAGAGGGTGGCGATTATAAGACTGTTGTGATAGGATCTCCAGGGTGCAGCCCGGGGCTGTGGGATCTCTGTGCCCCTGAACTCTCTCCAGTCTGGGCTGTCTCTCACAATGCCTTGCTAGTGACCAGCAACAAACCCCTCCAGGTTCTGTTATCACTCAGCACAACCACATGTGGAGCCCCACACCCAGCTCGATTGCATGAATGCTCCCAGAGCCACTCATGAATCGCACAGGGAAAGGCACCGGAGCCAAATCCCCTCAGCTCCCAGCCTTGTACCACAGGAATATACCGTCTTGCACTGCTCAAAGCTGGGCAATGCAAATGTATTAATTGGTTCACCACTTCATCAGTGGAAAGTGGACATACACCAGCCTTTGCATACCTGAGCAGATTACCAAACACTTCAGGCAAAGTCACTGGTAAAGATAAACAGTTAAATGTATTGAGTACAAAAGATAGATTTTAAGTGATTATAAGTGATAGGCAAAAAGTCAGAGTTAGTTACCAAAAGAAAAGAAAATATAAACACGCAGTCTAAACTCTCAACCCTATTAGACTGGGCAATTTCTAGATTAAGCAGTTTTTCTCATTCCACTGGATAATGGAGTTCATAGTACACAATTTCACCCTTGAAATCTGGGCCAGTCTCCTCTGCTTAAGTCTTCTCAGTGTCCTTGTTGCTTGCGGCATGGTTGGGGGCAGGCGAAAGGCGACACATGGAGCCCCTGTGTTCTGTTTTATACCCTCAATCCCATGTGCTTGGGGAATACACATCCAGGCATGTCTGGGGGGCATTGCTGAGTCTCCAGGCAAGCTTGGGCAATTCCTCTAGTTTGGCCCCATGCAGGTGAGTCATTGCATTGTAGCTCCCTTGCTGGACAATGGCTGTTGATGGGTTGTTTGAAACCCTGCCTGGGCGTTGGCTACTTTCCTTGCTGTTGCCTCTGGGGAGCGA